GGATAACAACCAGCCAATCAGAGTACAGGATAACAACCAGCCAATCAGAGTAGAGGATAACAACCAGCCAATCAGAGTGCAGGATTACCTCAGCCAATCAGAGTGCAGGATAACAACCAGCCAATCAGAGTACAGGATAACAACCAGCCAATCAGAGTANCAGCCAATCAGAGTGCAGGATTACCTCAGCCAATCAGAGTGCAGGATAACAACCAGCCAATCAGAGTACAGGATAACAACCAGCCAATCAGAGTACTGGATAACCCTCAGCCAATCAGAGTACAGGATAACCCCCAGCCAATCAGAGTACAGGATAGCCCCTAGCCAATCAGAGTACAGGATAATCCCCAGCCAATCAGAGTACAGGATAGCCCTCAGCCAATCAGAGTACAGGATAACCCTCAGCCAATCAGAGTACAGGATTCTGTTCCTGGTGTTTCACCTGCTCTGTGGTGGTACATGGGTCCGCTGCAGGTTGTGGTTTTGGCTGATGGGTAACAGGACTCTCCAGGTCCCTCCTCTCTGATCCTGGTTCTGCATCAGTCGAAGAAGGACTGCCTCGCTCTGCTGACTCACATAAAGTGGGCGGAGTTAAAGGTCCTGCTCTCTCTGGACCATGCTCCGTCTTGTCTTCAGGTGGGCCGATGTCGACCAGACTCCTGGTGAAGAGAAAGAAAAGATGAGAAATAAATAAAAACAAAAAAGAAGCAGAACTCTTCTGATTTTCTTCTGAATGATCAGGAAGCAGGAACCTCCTGCTGCAGGTAAGAAACCGCTAATTTTAGGAAAATACAAAACCATCTTCATAAATATCCAAAGATTATTCTCATTATAACACAGTTCCAGTTCAAAAACAATTTTCAGATTTGTAAAAATGAATTTTATTGACATCGATGTGAGCTGGTCTGCAGAGCTGTTGTTGCTCAGAGTTAGCTTCCTGTAGTAGAAACATGTTGCAGCACTTTATTTTTTTCACATCGTTTTCATGTTTTCTACCCTGAACCCTGAAAAACACCTGTCTGAAACCAGCTGAAACGTTCAGCATCAATTTCCTCAAATGTGATGAATTCAAACCAACCTTTGGATTTCTGTCCTGATTCACAAAGAAAAAGTCAAATTTAATTATGTGAGACTGAAAAAAGCAGCAAAGCTTTAAAAAACCTGAAAGCTGCACAGTAAAGTTAACTCTGTAAGCTAGCAGACAACAGTTCAGCTGTTCTCTCTCCACTGGCAGCAGAAGGTTCTGGTGCAGCTGGTAGCAGAAGGTTCTGGTGCAGCTGGTAGCAGACAGCGAGCTGATGAGGTCTACACTACAAGCTGGAGCCTTCGTGTTTCTGAGGCTCTACTTACTGATCATCAGTTTTCTCTTTAGACTCTTGGGTTTCGTCCTTGTTCGGTGGTTCTGGACTCTTACTGTCTGGGCCGTTGTCACTGTCCTCCTGCAGGTTCTGCAGCCTGAGGGTTGCATCAGTAACAGAAAAATGTGTCAAAAAGGAAAAACGATTTGCTCTAAATGTCTGTTTTCATGTAAAATGAGAGAAAATCCGTTGAATTCAAGAATAATCCGTACAGCTCGACGTGTGTGGACATTAATGTGAACTTGTCTTGAGATCTTTACAGTCTTATCTTCTATCTTCATCTTATATATATCTTTTGAATGCGATGGTTTGAAAAAAAAAAAAACAGCTTTGGGCAGTTTGTTTACATTTGAGCAGCAAGGACAGTGGGAGGGTTGCACATGTTGCTAAAAGTCAGAATGCACACAGGTAAATAAAATTTTAGCATAACACCTCTGTGGTCGAAAAACAATTTCCAGAGATAAAGTTGAATAAGATAATAGAAAAGTTATTTTCCTTTTTTTGTTTTCGAATTTCAAATAAAACTTTTCAGAACTGAAATCATAATACTGGGAAACCCTGATATTTTTGCCAAAGGTTATCATACCGTTTGACTGGGTAGATTATTTATAGTTTAAGCTGCTCTGAAAGAAGCTAAAATAATATTAGATGGTAAAACTGTGCTGCATCTTTTTCTGACTGAATCAGACAGAAAAGAATAAAACTTTATTAAATCTACAGAATGACCATGAGTTGATTAAAAAGCGACAAATTATGTCGATGTTGTTTCTATGTTGAATCAAGCCAGGAGCTCGTACCTGCAGCTGTGAAACTGGACTAAATATGACCCAAAGTTACATTTTGTAAATGATAGTATTGGTATGTGTATATGTATATGTATATATACAGTATACACAGTATATACAGTATAAAGTTATAATCAAGCAGAAACACAATAAAAGTTTGTCATGATGAAGTGGGAAGAAGCCTGAAAGCAGACAGGCTACAAACAATCAGCTGTGATTGGTTAACAGCTGAAGGAGGATGGACTTACTCTGGGTCGTCTTCATTTTCCTCCTCCAGGATGTTGGGCAGCCTGTTGGGAACCAGCAGCAGAAACTCAGCTCACGTTATTCAGTTCCAGCCTGGAGCTCAGTGTTTATGACACTCACTGCTCGTTGGACTCTGGCAGGGTTTCGATGAGGATCTTAGCTGACTGCTCCACCTCCAGCTGTCGGACCGCCTCCTCCGCGGCCTTCCTGGCCATCTCCTCAGCAACACGAGCCGCCTCCAGACGCTCCTGCTGCAGCCTGAAACCAGGAGCAGCCTTCATGTTAACATGGCCAAGTAAATGTTGATCAATAACATTTAAAGACCTCAGCTAGTGCTTCTGAATTAGCCCATGCATTTTGCAAATACTAATCCACTAATTACCGTATTTATTCATGTATAATACAATCTCATGTATAATATGATCTCATGTATAATACAACCTCATGTATAATACAACCTCATGTATAATACAATCTCATGTATAATATGATCTCATGTATAATACAACCCCGTGTTTTGAGCTTAAAAAGCATAATAAATTTAATCCTCAAACTACCTCCAGTTTCATACAGACAAAGATTTTTCATCCTTTGCAGTCTTTATACATATCAGTAAAATGATCATTGGACTGTTCATTTTATTTTAACAACATATGTACTAAAAGGTATTTTGACAACAAATATATATCAGCTGTAGCAGCATCATATGAATTCTGGCATTTTACACATAGTCCACCAGGAGGCGCCAACACAAAAGTCAGAGACTTCACATGAGATTTGGACCATCTTGTGGGGCAAAAGCAGATTACTTCCTACTCGTGAGCGCCCCCTCTGGTGGGGAAACATTTTTCAGGGATACAAACTTTTTCAGAACACCGGTAGACGGCAGCCATTACAGACGAACATGTGTTTGTTGTTGTTCGAGGAGCGGCTCGGTCACACGCTATTGTCATTAGTTCGTTATCATTACTGAGCTGCAGGACTGCTTTCCCCGCTTTTTTCACATCATGTCTCCTGCCTGGATCTGTTATTATCTCACTCTGAAGCACAGAGGAGTGTCAGAGGTGAGCTCGTTTCAACTGCTTTTTACGACGCAGTCTCATTTCTGGACTCAATAATTTTGTGAATGAAGCCAATATTTCAGTTAAAATACATAATTAAAATATTTTTCCGAGTTTAGTACTACCCTCCAACTTTATGGATGATTTTATGGATTTAATTTTACGTATTATATTTGAATAAATACGGTAATTTATGAAATAGCAAAAGCCCTAAAACACTAATCAGGAAATTAATTCCCCTATTAGTGCTTTAGGGGAACTGTGCCCACCACTGGTGGTAGCAAAAAGTTTCATAGTTACCCAATAACAGGAACTTAAACTGCCAAGGTGCTGCTTCTATTTTTTTTTTATTTTTACTCTCAAAAGAAAACATGATGGCAAAATCAAAGCTAGCCGTAGACATTATTAGCTGATTGTTAGCCCTGATGGATGCAGCCTAAAAAAATTAAAAGATTAGCAGCTAACCTTTCCTCCAAGTGAGCAAGGACCTCCTCCTCGGCCTCCTCCTTAATGCTGTCCGTCACGGGACTCAGCTGATCCACCTGGGTCTTGGTGTCCATCTGAAACCCAGAACAGGGACGCACTTCAGATCTGAAATATACTCAGTACATGTCTCTTTGTCACTATGTGTTGGCACAGAGGTTAGAGAATGTGACCCTGTGATTGGAAGACCACTGGTTCAACTCCCCGGAACGACCAACCCCACTTTGGACCCTTGAGCAAGTTTTCTGTTTTGGCTGGTTGTATAAATCGACAGACATTGGTTGTAAAATGAAGGTCCCTACATGTTTTAGTCATATTTTCCTGTATAAAATAATAACTTGAAATGAATCTGTGAATCTGAGAGACAGACTCACCTCCTTTGTGGAATGTTGCTGGGTTTCTTTACTCTGCTCCTTCACCTCCATCTTGACCTCCTCCTCTGTCACATCCTCGAGCACCAGGTCTGTCTTCTTCTGAACGATGCTGACTGAATCCACATGGAGAAGCACAGCAGTTCAGTTTCTGTTTGTGTGTTGTGTTTAGGTAAGTGTGAGCTGAATTCAGCCAACATCACTGAGGAGATCCCACAAACTCGGAGACATTTGAACATCTAAACAGGGATCTCAACTTGTTGATGACTTGTCTCACGTATTTGTCTGCAGAAACCATAAAAGTGGCAACTTGCTGTTTTTCTTTTTACCAAGTTTTGTTCAGGTTTTGTTTAGAATTTACATTTGTCTGTAAACTGAAACCACGAGTCAGAAGATGTGCTGAATACAGAAGTTAGTCACCATGGAACCATTAGTATTGGCTTGCTCTCCATTAGTTATCGACTCATGACAGCATGTAAGATAACCTTACTTTGAGCTTATTTAGATTGTGGTGTGACGTTTTCAAAAGTTCTTAGTAGAATAACAAATAACTGAAATTTATATTAGCAGATGTGGAGGCTGTTATTTATTAATAACGTTAGTGTAAGTGCTAAACTGCCAACAAAAAGTTACCGTAGTTTCACTCTTAGAGGATTACCGTGCCCACCATTGAGTGGAAATGAGAGAAAACGGTTCTTTGAATGTTTTTTTGTTTCATAGAGTTGTTCCATGGAGCTATTCGATTTTTAAACAAGTGACAGTATCATGTATGGATTTATGTCATCATTTATCATCATGACTCAGCTGTCCTACATCTCAGGAATAAAGGACACTCTGCCGAGGACCAAAATGTTCATATTTTAGACAGAGAAGATAGATGGTTTGAGAGGGGGGTGGTGAAGGAAGCCATTGTTAAACAAGAAAAACACTTTAAACAGAGGAGAAAGTCTCAGGTTTCAACTGTCAAAAACTTACAGTACAGCAAAAGGTTTGATTCCTACTGTTTTATCCCAGTTCACACTTTTTTACAAGTGATGGAGACATTTCTCCTGTGAGCCAGTCAAACAAAGAGCCTAACAACTCTCCGTTGTGAGGGATGAGTAGCTCCAGGTTAATCTACCTGTGGGTTTAAGCTCTAATGAGGCCTCTCATAAAGACTGGAGCTCCACACATTTCAGTATAAATTGAGAAAGTTTCCTGGATAGGACGCAAAACATCTTCAGCTTCAGAATAGAAGTCCAAATGTTTTTTTGGCCAGATTGAGATGATTTGGGCATGTCCAGAGGAGGCACAGTTGTGATGATGGTAGAAGGATGTTATTCATAAAGCTGCCAGTAAAAAGACAAAAAAGAAGCCCATGGAGGAGTAAGGATGCAGTTAGCCAGACCTATTTCTAGAGATTGAGATCTATTTGAGAATTTAGGCTCTTAAACAGACCTTATAAACACTCCTCATTATGCTACAACTATAAGTCCACAGGGTGCTGGGGATGATGTGGGCCAAGGTTGGCATGCGTATAAAGGCTTGGACCCCCGTCACAACTGCTTTGCCATTCTATTTATGTCTTGTGACTGCTGTTACATTTTATTTATTGTGACTGTCCAGCACTTTCCTGTCCTGTAGTTGTTTAAAGTGCTTCATAAATAAAGCTGCTACAGTATGATATTTTAAAAATGCTCTTAAAACAACATTTTTGTCATTTAATTAGTTAAACACGTAGTGTGAACAATAACTGATTGGTTAATAATTAGTTGCATAGTTAGTGGTTAATTGATTGATAAAAGGCTTGTAGATTTAACAATTGCTGGTAAGTTGAATTTATTATTTAATAATAAAACTCCCTCTCCTTGGGCTGCTACCTTATCGTGGTGGAGGGGTTTGAGTGTCCCAATGATCCTAGGAGCTATGCTGTCTGGGGCTTTATGCCCCTGGTAGGGTCACCCATGGCAGACAGGTCCTAGGTGAGGAAATTTGGATCTGGCGTTCCCTCGCCCGGACGCGGGTCACCGGGGCCCCCCTCTGGAGCCAGGCCTGGAGG